AATTCCAGTGAAATATATTTATGTTTGTGGTTGTAATGTGACAAAATATGGAAAAGTTCAAGGGGTATGAATACTTTTGCAAACCACTGTACACTGCTACAATCATCTTTTTTGCCCTGATTTAAAAGGCAAAGATAGTTTGAAACAGAACGGCTTAGCTTTGAAAGGAATCAGTCACATCTGAAATGCATCAACGAAGTATTAAAACTGTAAGATGTTAAATTTGTAATAAATATTTCTGTATCACGAGACAAAGATAGTAAAACACATTTTCTCGATCTTTCAGATGGAGGAACTGCGACATCACGCCACGGACTGGACTCAGAACATCCAGCATATGTCAGTGGACTTTCACATCCCAGGGAAAATTGACGACCCTTTCAAACGTCGCAGGCGAAAGCGCCGCCCTGCTCATCGCAGCCGCGGCCACAGCACATCAGCCAATGGGGCGAAGGCCGACGGCGCCCCCGAGGATCAAGGAGAACAGCATGAAAGCGAAACAGAGTCCGGATCGTACTCCTCTTATTCTTCCAACTCTGAGTCTGGATCAGAGTCAGACTCTCAAGCCACTCAGACCGACCGAGTTCCTGAGGAAAAGACTAAGGAGGAGGAGGAGCCTCCTCTGGATGCCCACCTGTCACAACCTCTGGACTACTTTGGGGAGAACCTCGCCTTCATCGATGAGTCTTCAGACGCTCAGAGTGCTAAACTACACGTGGATCCTCTCCTCCATCCGAAAGAGCCTGGCTCTCGCCACGGGAAGAGGAGACGCCACAGACGACCTGTTCATCGGAGGAGCTCTAAAACCAACGGCTCCCACGTTGACGGACAGCAGCCCAATGGAAACGCAAGACCTGTTCCAGATCTTCCACTGAAGCCTCAAAACTGATGTATGCAGGTGTAGTCTCAGTCATCCAGGACATGATATAAAAAAAAAGGTTACAAAACAAAACAACTGGATTTCTGTTGTGTAGCTGAAGATGTTTTACCTTCCATCAGGGGAGCTTTCTTAATTCTTACAGAGGAAAAAAAAAGTTATAAAATGAGTAAAATAATTGAACTAGGAATGGCTCTTTACTGTCCACAGCCTGGTTCTTAACGCTTGCTGTAAGGAGCCTTTCAAAAGATTTGTTTCATTCGAAAACTCCCCATCTCTACTTTGAACAAAATGCCCCAATTTTTATCACACAACTACAATAAGAGCCAATTCCACAGCTTTTGGTGGAGTATGCAGGCCTTAACTTAATCTGCATGTGAATTTAGATTACATAACTGCGTTTCACATACAGTTTACAGCTCACCRAGTGGTAGGTGAAATGTCTAACTATCAAATAGTTTCTGTTGTTTTGCTTTTTAACCACTGTCTTGATAAGTCCAATCAACTTGTCAGAAAAATATCCTGGTAAAAGAAAGGTTCGCGCTAAACTAAGATGAAAACACGACGTTAAAGCCTTTTAACCTTTGAGTGGTTTGCTGTTTAATTTCACTTTCAGCATGTGTGTATGCCTCAGCCAAATGATGCAAGGTTTTCGATGGCAGTGTTCTCCTCGCTTCGTGAGGAGATTCTGCTCTCTACTGGGCTACAGCTGTACTGCACCATCACTGTGTCCAAACACATTTACTAATCCAGAAACTGCAACCGAAACGATCAGAATGCTTTCATTTGCAGCGTGATCACTCATTTCTGAGACCATAACTCTGGAATCCTGCCAACAATTAAACGGGTACTAAACACGCTCTTGATTGTATATTTTTTGTAACAGTTTTTAAAACAAATGACAGCGTATAACCATACTATTTGTGTTTTGATTGCCAAGTTCATTAGTCTTGATGCATATAGGTAATAAAGAATTTTTAAAAAGTAAATCATTATTGCCAGTTTCTTGCCTTATCGCTGGTTAAATGATAGATGTTCTGACTTTAAAGCAGGAGCACTTCAGTATAAGTAGTGGATGGTATTTCTTTGTAAAACGCCACTGAAAAACAGGTTTTGGCAATGATAATAACTAACATTATTTATGGTTTATTTTCTCTTTTATGTCATGTTTCTACTGTAAACAGTAATAATCTTGGTAACAGGACTGGAGTAATGARACCAATGTACTACATAGTTATGCCACCAAAAAACACCAAGACTTTCTTTATGCCAGAAGATGAGCCAGAGCGGTTTTGCAGGGTTTCGTTGTGGTCTCAGAACCCAGAGGGCCATTAGAAAACTCCTCTACCTTCAGCCTCTCGTGCTGCTGAAGGTGTGGCCATGGAACCAACCAAGACGTGATAACCACGGTGGTGCTGTTAAACTACCATGATGTCATCTTTTAGTTGCATTCAGATGCTGTCCAAGAGAGTTATRCTAGGGTGGGGCCTAGAGTGTGGTGCAATTGTGGGGATATGTAATCATATTGTCCTGGGGACGCCACTGGGACAAATAAAGTGGGGCGATGATGCAGRAAAATGTATTAAGGATGCAGACGTTAGCACAGAATACCTATATGGCAAGTCCTACAGTGTAGCAGCATCATGATTACCTTCACATTGAAGGATGTTTTCCAAATTGTCACAATCATGTTCTAATAAATTGTAGAGGTCACGGAGAACGTAACGAGGTCATCATCCAGCATGAAGGGGACAAAATAGAAATACAATAAGTCAAAAAAAATTCCATACTTCATAGTTTTAACACTTATTGTTGAGCTGATCAGAAAGCTGTTGCCATATTTTAAGTTAATCGTAATGTAACAATAATAAAACTCTTTAAGCCATCAGTCTGGGTTTTCTGGCTTCTAAGGTGATCCACGTTGAGTGATCAATCTGAAAGTGGCACCAAGGATAAATACAACTGACCGTCAGAGTGTGGTTGCAGTTTTCTTGTTTATTCGATTATTTTGCTAGAAAAAAGGCTATAAAGTCATAAAAATCTGATTAATGCTGGATTCATTTCCCGCTCCTTGAACACAACCAGCAGATGGCAGACACATGCAGATTCAGCTGTATAGTATTCAAGATATCATGTGGTCTTATGGCTTAATTATATCTCTGTTTGTGCTGGTGTTACTAGTGAACCACTTGTGACACAGTTTAGCATCTGTCTTGTGCCAGTATATATATATAT